CAGTGCACAAATTTTTGTGCACCAGGCCTCTAGTATAGGATAATTATGAAAATATTTACGATCATTAGAATCAAAATTTTAATTGTGGAAAATAGGGGAAGGCTACTTGTACTAACAGATTGTCCAAATTTTACACAAGTTCTTGAAACTTAAAAGTAAAGAACTTTAAAAACTAAAAGAGAATAGTAGACATTATATTTGGAGGTTATTTTCACCAAATAATTGGTTTGAAAAACAGATTTATAACTTTATTGAAAGAACGAGTTGAGATTATTAATTAAGAAGAATCTTTCATTGGATTACTGTCATTTTTGAAATATGTTTTAATTTTGTTTTTAATATGTTCAAAATGATGGTTACTTGCCCTTGAGTAGATTGTTACAAGTATATTATTTAGATTAGTACCTAGTTAGTAAATTGGAATAATAGTAAATTGTTTGAAAAAATAAGAAAATATTCCTTACAATGCAACTGAACCCTATGAATTAGTATAGGATTAGAATCAACACTTACTTGCCTACTGTATTCCTATTTTCTTATTAGCATGATGTTAATTCTTATTTCTAAATATGCCAAATGCAGAGTGGAAATAAATTAGAACTGGAACAAATGCCTATGTCTGTATATATTATCAAATTTGAGGTATAATTATTCTATTTGGTACTGCTTATTTGTTACACTTTCCAAACATAAAAGAAATTCAATTTAAGCACTTGCCTACTGTATTCCTATTTTCTTATTAGCATGATGTTAATTCTTATTTCTAAATATGCCTAATGCAGAGTGGAAATAAATTAGAACTGGAACAAATGCCTATGTCTGTATATATTATCAAATTTGAGGTATAATTATTCTATTTGGTACTGCTTATTTGTTACACTTTCCAAACATAAAAGAAATTCAATTTAACATTACTAAATTAAATGTATTTGTAGAACCTAATAGGAAAACATCATTCATCATGTGTATAATTTGTGATTAAAGAAATGAACTAATAGGTCTGAAGATGGAAAATAAGCTATATCATAGTTTGTTGGTATGTTTGTTTGGTAGTTAGCAGTAACTGATTAAAGTGGTAACAAAATCAAATTATCTATTAAAGCACGTTTTAATGGAGAAATTAACTTTCATTCAAAATATAAATAAACTAATGTATATGAATTTGATGTTTTATTTGAGGTACTGGGTGAAAATGACGATTGTCTTAAATTTTATTGTCATTTCAGAGTATTTGACTGTGTTCTCTCAGATGATTGCATTCCATGATCCAGAGCTAAGTAATCATCTCAATGAGATTGGATTTATTCCAGATGTAAGTACCTGGCACATTATTAACATGAGGTCAAAGATAAAGCAGAAATTGGCAGCATGAAAGAGTGCTGTTTTTAAAGTTTTTGTTGTCATAAGAAGTCCAATCTGAACAAGTTCCTGCTACTAATTACAGTCTTTTGTTAGTAGTATAAAGTCGGTGTGGTTACCTTCCAGGAACTTGAGATCTCTATCTCAAAAGGAATTTTTGAGGTTTACAAAAACCTATGATACTGTAGTCTAACTTCCACTTAAAAGAGGCTTGACTCCCTGTCACATACTGCAGGTGAGTAATGGGCTAAGCCACACCATTGCTACCCTTTGCAAGTCAACTCTGACTTTCAGCTTAATATGAACTGTAGAGACGCTAATGAAGTAAGCCAAAATCTGGCAAAGCTCCCAAGGTAACATATCAAGCAAAACACAGAAGCTACTTAAGAATCCACTAAGTTCAGATTTCCTAATTCTACAAAAATAGGCCCAAGTCTCATAAAATCCAAGTGAAAACCCTTCACAACACAGTTTAACATAACACTAATATGTTTTTCAAACAATTTGATTTTACCCTATTTAAAAGCTAATAAATGAGCCTTTTACTGTTTAATGGCTGTTGGTGGAAAACACAAGACTCCTGTGTCAGAGACAAAGGACTTTCACTGACAGCAGAGCAAGTGACCTGAACATTCACATATTTGTGTTAGTCCCACTGAGACAAAGTAAAGGGTCTAGGTGCTACTTACATATGCAATGAATTACATTATAGGAGAAAAACCCTGATTTTAGGGAATTTGAATTTTTAAAATGCCTCCCTTTGCTCAGGAGAGAGAAAAACACTCCCTTTTTCTTCCAAGGGTATACCAGTAAGAAAACTTGTCTTTTGCTGCAAAGGGAGATTCTGTTTCTGTTTTCCCAGGCTGTTCTTGTGTACTTATATTTGAAAAGATAATCCAGAACAAAGGACAGTCAGTATCTCTGTTCGCAAGGAATGCAGAAGTACAAGAAAGCATTAAAATGTTAATGGTATTCACTAGAAGAATAGAAAAAGAAAGTAGAAAAACACTCTCTTTTTCTTCCAAGGGTATACCAGTAAGCAAACTTGTCCTTTGCTGCAAAGGGAGATTCTGTTTCTGTTTTCCCAGGCTGTTCTTGTGTACTCATATTTGAAAAGATAATCCAGAACAAAGGATAGTCAGTATCTCTGTTCACAAGGAATGCAGAAGTACAAGAAAGCATATTAAAATGTTAATGGTATTCACTAGAAGAATAGAAAAAGAAAGTATAACATTCTTTATTGTTGATACTATCACAGATGTTTCCCATTTCCCCTGCCTTGGCCTCCTTCATGAAGTGACACCCCCCCACACCCCGCACCCCCGTACAGCCTGTTGTCTGTGTCCATAGTCTATACATATGTGTTCTTTGGCTAATCTCTTCCATTCCCCCCACCTTTTGCCCCTCTGGTAACCAAAAGAAAATAAATACTATGATATTAATATAAAACAGAAAAGAAAACAAAAAGCAGACCCCCTAATATATGGAATTTTGTATCTGACAGAGAGGGATCTATTAATCAATTAGAAATGAAAGGATTATTGAATAAATAGCCCTGATAAAATTAGGTAGCTATATGGAGAGGAGATGGGAATCAAAATACAACCACACACCATACATAAAAATAAATTCTAGGTTGACTGAAATACCTGAATGTGGAATGTCATTTTTATAATTTCCATTTAGGAGGGAATTCTTGCAGAATTCATACAAAGTACAACATATTTTGAAAAGAGAGAATTTCAATAGAAGAGTGGTACAAAGGAGACTTCCATTCTATTGATAATATATTACTTGACTTAAATTATTTTGAAGCAGTTGTGGCAAAACATTTGTTAACTCTGGGTAGATGAGTACAGTGGTGTTCGTTAAATGTGCTGTGTAGGGTGAGTTAATTATCCAATCCTATCTAATAAAGAGGGAATATGCTAATTGACCCTCACACCGTCACAAAGATGGCAGCACCCACAGCCAATAAGCAGGGAATATGCTAATTGACTGCCCCGCCCTCAACAATGGTGGTGCCCACAGCTAATAAGGAGGGAATATGCTAATTGACTGCCATGCCCTCAAAGATGGCGGCACCCAGGCCCCTCAGCCCCCCAGCCACCCAGGGCCGCGCTAGGCTCAGGTAACCAGGGCCAGCCGAGGCTCAGGTAACCAGGGCCGCCCAAGGTTCAGGTAACCAGGGCCGCCCGAGGCTCAGGTAACCAGGGCCGCCCAAGGCTCAGGTAACCAGGGCCGCCCAAGGCTCAGGTAACTCGGCAGCCACAGAGCTGGAGCAAGTAGGAGGCGTGGTTGCCCCAATAATAGAGGAAGCCAAGCTTCCCAGCTGCCGCAGCCGGCTCTGAACTCCACTCAAAGCAACGAAGTTTCAATTATAGAAGATAAATAAACCCCAGATACCTGCTTTCAGCCAGCGGTGGCCACGGAGCTGGAGCACTCACCCTGGCCGGCTCTGAGCTCCTCTCAAGGCTACAAAGTGTCAATTATAGAAGGTAAATAAATCCCAGAATAAAAATAAAAAAAATAAAAAAAGGAGAGGCTGGGAGCTTCCGTCACCTGGGGGGGAGGGGGGGGGCGGAGGGGCGTGACTTTGCCAGCCTGAAAACGGCCCTCAGCCCCTCACCCAGACTGGCCAAACCTCCATGGGTGAGGGTCCCCACTGGCCAGGCACCCCAGTGGGGACCCCCACCCTGAAGGGGGTGTGACCAGCTGCAAACAGCCATCAGCCCCTCACCCAGGCTGGCC